CACCCAACATGCGGGAGAGGGAGCCAATGGCGCATACAATAATGCGAACCACCTCATGGGGAACTATGAACCCATGCTGGATGCCGATCCTTTTGGATTGAGTGCCAGCATGCATTTCCAGACTCCCTTCAGTTACGAGCAGAATAATACCCGCCATTAACCCGTTTGTTTCTTGTTTTGTAATCTCACATCCGGCACTGACTTCCCCCTTTCGATTCGAGGGATACCACGGTCGGAAGAGAGAGACACGCTTGACGGATTTCCTTCATAGCTTTCTTCTATGACTGGAAGACAAAAGTTGAAACTTTGAAGCATTGCCTGGCGTTTGCGGTTGATACCATTTGTTTATATTGGTTCGCTTGCTGTTCTGCTGTTGCTGTGGCGCTTTTGATTGATTGACGCCTTTGAAACTGGAAAAGAAGCGGTTGGCTGTTTGTTCCTTTGAGCGCGGAATGAGCGGAGGAAAGAAGGGTAAAAAGGGAAAGTAAAAAGAAAGGCCGCGATAAAAGTTGGGACATGGTTCTTTGTGTACATGCATGACTGGTATAATGGGCCCGAGGGTGACTGCGGTGCAGTTGGAATCGGGTCGCACTTCTTACTCTCAGCTCTTGCGGACATAGCTATATGATGTGTTTCTTTTCTTGCCATTGTGATGGTGATGATTTGGGCTGCAGTGAAACGGTGGCTTGCATGTGTATTTCTTGCTGGTCTGGGTTATGTTGCATCCCTGCGGCATTGCATTCTACTCTATTCATCTTCATGAATTATTCTATCACTTCTCTGCTTCTACTTACATTCCTCGGTTCTTTTTACTGCTACTTTTTCTTGGAGATACTACTATGTGGGAGAATTCCCTCTTGGGAGAGCTCTGAGAGCTAGGGGAAGGTATCTACTCGAATAGGGAAGTAACTGGAGTGGCAGGTGACCAGCTAGTACGGAGCTCGGCAATTGGGGGAAAGCTACAACGGCCGGGGGACAGAGAGAGGAAGAAAGAGGATGGAGAATGGAGAATGGAGTAGTGACGTATGACAAAGGAGGGGAATGGAATTGAGATGGCAGTGATCTACAGATCACCCCAAGAATGCTGTAGGGGAAGAGGAGCAAAAAAAAGCAACATCCAACCATCCTACATACTGTCGAGCGTAAGCCGAACTGAAGGCAGCGATGCAGAGCATCATCTCAGCGTCATCCGCTGGTGTTTTACCCTAAGCCCTAGCTGCTGTAGACCAATCACAGGTCGCATTCCCGGATTCGCTTAGCAGCAATTCGCACCTTACCGGATCGGGCGAGTGCAACCACAAACGTCGCCTCCATCCACCGTCCAGTCAACCCCCTTCACTCCAACCACTATCCTATCCCATCCCCCCTAAACAAAGGAGAGGTCAGATACCGTTCGTCGTCGAGGTTCCTGCCTGTGTCGACTCTCCCCGCCCGCTCCGTCGGACCGAATTGTTGCGATAAGAGAGAAGCCTTCCCCGGAAGGCCCCGCATAAAACCAGGCGTCATGGCGGAGATCCGGTCCAAGGTGCGTTGCTTTTGAAAAGAGAATGGCTCTCGTTTTCTCTCCGTCTGTTGCTGTGCGAGGGTGATGGAAATCCGCGATTTGGGGGGAAGGAATGATTTACGGGCTGGATTGATGGGAAAATGCTGGGATTTGGGTTGGGAGCGCAGTTGCATTGCAACGAGCGGGGTTTGGGGGACGGCAGGAATATTGCACAAATCTATTCTGCTCCTCACCACTCGCACCATCACCACCACCACAGATGAGACGGGAGAGAAAGCGACAGCTTCAAACATCAAGGAATGCGATGGCTAACATATCATCTACTATAACAGAACCTCTACGAGCTTCTTGGTAATTCTCGCCCTTCCCTTGTCTACCTACCTACCTACCATACCTGAGTCCCATCCTGCACTTTGCACTACCTATCGTGTTTTGACTTGCCTTGATCTCTCTTTTCGCTTGTCGTCGATCCATCTACACTTCGAATTCGTGAAGGGATTACATCATTTTCTAACCTCGAGCGTGCTTTTGCTCGCGCTGCGCAACTACAGGCAATGACCCTGAACTCGACCCCAACAGAGCTCCCGAGCCCCCTACGAAAGCCGTAGACAGGCCCGCTCCCCGTGTTGGCAAGCGGGACGCTCCCAAGGAGGCCCCTGCCCAGCCCCGTGAGAACAACAACTCTCGCCGTGGTGGCCGTGCCACTGGCAACGAGGCCGGTATGTATTCCCAACTACATTGGGCTCCGGCCCCTGGCAAGTCCATTCCGACTGATTCCGATTACGTTCAGCTTTCCGTGACCGCAACGCCGGCAGAAACAACAACCGTGAGAAGCCCACCGATGAGAAGGACGCCCAACGGCGCGGATTCCGCGCCCGTGAGGACCGTGGTGAGCGTGTCCGCCACGACCGCCAGTCCCGCACCGGCCAGACGTAAGCCTTTCCCTATATGTTTTGCCCTCTCTGAAGATGGGCGAATAAGAAGTCTTGGGACTCGATCGAAACTGACGAACTGGATAGCGACACCCGCAAGCAGGTGAACCAGGGCTGGGGTAACCAGAGCGGCGAGAAGACCTGGGACGACGAGAAGGCCGGTGAGAACATTGCTCAGACCGATGAGACCGAGCCCCAGACCCCCGGCGAGGAGAAGCCCGAGGAGGCTGCCGACAAGTCCAAGTCCTACGCCGAGTACCTTGCCGAGAAGGCCGCCCAGGGTGACCTGAGCGCCAAGCCCGTCCGTGCTCCCAACGAGGGCACCAAGCTCGACAAGAAGTGGGCCGCCGCCAAGGAGCTCAAGCGTTCCGAGGAGGAGGATGCCTACATCAAGGGCAAGGAGGACAAGGCCAAGCGCGAGAAGCAGCGCAAGGAGAAGAACATCCTCGAGGTCGACATGCGCTTCGTTGAGGCTCCCCGCACTGGTGGCCCTGGTCCCCGTGGCCGTGGTGGCCGTGGTGGTCCCCGTGGTGGCCGTGGCGGCCGTGGCAACGGTCCCCGCTCCGAGCGCCCCGCTGCCGCTGCTGCTGCTCCCACTGTCGCCGTCGACGAGAAGAACTTCCCCAGCCTTGGCGGCAAATAAATGCAGTTTTTCCCCTCATAAACTTGCATTTATAGGCTAGCATCCATGCATGCATGCCCATGCTTCCCCCACACCTTTTTTCTTTTCTTTCTACGCATGATCCTCACTACCATAAACCCTCCCTCCCCACCACCCCTTTTTTTCTCGCTAGCAACTTAGGTAGTCGAAATCCAGGGATCCAAATGAGATGAGAACGAAAATGAAAGTTTTGTGTGTGTGCATGAGAGAAGTGAGAGAAAAGAGTGCGTCTTGTGTGTGCTTGCATGTGTGTATGAACCTGAATCTCAAATGTGAAAACAAAAAAACGACCAAGGGGAAACAGACAAAATAGGGAAAGGGTGAAACATAAAAGGAACAGAAGGGAAAGAGAAAAAGACACCAAAAAAATCCAAAGGTTCATCTGTGCAATATGCCTCTTTTATCTATCTATGGCTTTATGGGCCCTTTTCCACATATTTCAGTTTTATCGTACAGTGTTTCTATGGAATGATGGAATAATTATTTCTTCCTTCTCCCTGGCTCTGTCCTTGAGCATAATTCTGTATCTCTCCCCCTACCCCCCGGGCCCATGTCCATTTCTAAATAATTCTGTAAAAGAGTTACTATACCATGTAATCTTGTTGTTGCGAATGCTCATGTTCATGTCCATGTTCATGTCCATGTTCGACAATAGTACTACTAGATGACTCAAAAGCCTCATCCTGCTCTGCTGGTACTAGCCCCCCTGCCCCCCTCCTTGGTAAACTACTAATGATAACTAAATTAATACTCATATAACATCATGTATAAGTGAGTAGTATTCTACATTAGGCAATTAGTGCAGATGATAAATCACACTGAATTGATATCCCCTTAATCACACTATACTATACTAACTATACTATACTTCCTACAGGTAGTTCTGATAATGCTATCTAACCTATAACTACAGTATTTAGATTGATTACTACTACTAGTAGTCTGTTTTAACTAACTCAGTTAATAGTTAGCTTCGACTGCTCTGCTAAGAAATATGATTTAATCCTCATTCTATAGTAGTATTTAGTAAGAAGTGTAGTGACTTCTAGATTGCCATGTTCTTCATCACACCACATTTATCATATGATCATATAATCTGGGTAATAGGTATCTACTTACTACCTACTACTAACGTATTCATATTCACCCAGCCCATACGTAGAGAAACTATTGACTACCGCAATTCTGGGTCATTACACATAGATATGAATAAATGGACTGAACTGATCTGAACTGTTCCATTATCTCTTGACACTCCATACTCAATCCTCTTCCACCGGCCACCTATATACCCCTGACTCACTCACTCAACGATCAGCCTCCCTCAAAACTTAAGTCTCTGTATACTACTGCCCATTTATTGCTTCTGTCGATGGTGAAACTATCTTTTAGGTGCAAGCCCCTAGAGTAATTCATAGGGAGGGGGCGGAATCTATTCCTTAATGTTGGGATGATTACTACTACCTGTCGATTAGAGACAGTCTTACTCATAACGAATAAAACAAAATTATCTCAGTTTTGCTTCAATTCGATTCTTATCAGACATCAACGTCAACATCAGCATAAATCAAAAAGGGGACACCTGTACAAAAATGGTATCAAGTCGGTTCCTTGCTCCCCTAAATTCAACCAGTCCATTTCCCGTGTGGTACAAGCAAATCAAAATCAAATCGCCAAGCGCAAACCAGGAAGACAAAAAAGTAAAAAGGAAAGAAAAGCAAAGCAAAGCAAAAATGAATAAGGATACCAAATAGAAAAAGAAGAAAAGGAGGCCCAAGTCTTACAAAAAAATAAAAAATAAAAACGCCAACCTCTTTTGCCTTGGTTCCCAATACCTTATGCACAGTCTCAGAAATGAAGAAAAATAAGCGGGGACTTGAAGAGAAGAAGAAAAAGAACAGAATAATCCGAATGTATAATCGTGGAGGTTCGTGGGGAGCGCCATGCGCTGTCCAAATCCGATAGAAGGTATAAGAATGGTAAGGTCTGAAGAAGGGTAAAGATGAAAGAATAGCCCTGCGGCATATTGTAGTTAGAATGAAAAAGAAAAAGAAGGCAAAGCAAATCAGCTACTTCCCCGGGCGTTCTGCATCATGTTTTGTTGCTGTTGCTGCTGCTGATGTTGCTGCTGCATCACCTGAGCTTGAACATGAGCAACCTGGTTGGCACGTTGCTGAATCAGCTCGCGCTCTCGTCGAACAATGTCATGAACCCAGGCTTTGGCATTCTGTTCCAGTCCCGTCGTGTACTGTCGTTGTATATGTGGTGGGAACTGAGACGGTGAACCGTACTGTGGCATCAATCGAGCCGCCATTTCTTGCCTAAGCCGTACTAATCGCTGAGTGAACAATTGCTGGTAGCGCTGTGGAGTGATGACGTTCTGTGCCAAATTTATACCTTGCATATTTTGTGGCAGATGACCTCCATTGGCCTGAGCCGCTGCCATTAGCATTTGCTGCTGTTGAGGGTTCATATGTGGGCTGTTTTGGTGTACCTGTCCCTGTTGATTCTGTGATTGCTGGCCTTGCTGCTGTTGCGGTTGCTGCTGTTGTTGCTGCTGCTGTTGCTGTTGCTGCTGCTGAGCCATGTGCATCTGCGCGAGCTGCGCACGCATCAACTGAGCCTGATAGGCTTGTGGATTCGGGAACTTGGGCTGTGCCTGGAAATTTTGCTGCTGGGCTTGTAGCATCTGCTGCTGATGGGCTTGAATGTTCTGCTGCGCATGTGCGTTGGCCTGCATCTGAGCTACTTGCTTGGGCGAAAACTGATTCTGCACCATATGCCCTTGCTGGGCGAGAAGTTGTTGCCTCTGCTGCAATAGCATCTGCTGTTGCTGTTGAGGTGTGAGGCCCATTCCGCCTCCCATTTGTGGTGTTCCCATCATGGTAGCCTGGTTCATCACCGGTGTTGGAGCCATTGTCGTGTGACTCGGGCTGGCGTGGCTCATACGCTGTGTTGGTGTTACATTGCGCATGATAGGTGTAGCATGAGACATTGCTGGCGTTCCTTGAGTCATCTGTGGCGTCCCGTGTCGGCTCTGTCCCTGTTGGCTTCTGGAAGGTGCCATCGGATGGCTCATAACTGTAGGATGGGCGTGCTGCAATGCAGATGGCGGCCTCTGGGGGCTGCCTGCTCCCTGCATAGAAGGCGTCATGCTCATAGGAACACTTGCTTGTGCGGCCATTGTGTTGCCAACAACAGGCGAAGAGGTGTTGTGAGGTGTCTGATTACGGACCACCGGCGAAGACTGCGGCGCTTGGCTAACCCCGTTAGTTTGCGCCATGACAAGCCGATTCTGCTGCTGCTGCTGTTGCTGCTGCTGTTGTTGTTGCTGTTGCTGCTGCTGCTGCGCCGCAAGTTGCGCCTGAGCCTGCGCGGCAAAGTGCTGTCTACGAGCCTCCTCCTTAGCGTGCTCTTCATTCTGTCGCTGCTCCAGAAGGCGACGTTTCTCCCTCTCCTGCTCTTGCTGTTGTCGTTTAGCCAAATCCTGTTTCATCTTGACTTCGTGTTCGCGCTTGGCCTTCTCCTCATGCTGCATACGGATATTCTCAAGCGTCTTGAACCTTGAAAATCGAGGCTCAAATGGTGCACCACCACCCGTATCATCCACAACCGCGGATTTCGGCCCTCCAGCACCACCGGAGGAGGTAGGCTCCAGACGCTCATCCATGATGAGCATAAATCTCTCTTCCTCGGCAGCCAGCGCCTCGTCAGCAGCGAGCTCAGCCACGGTACGCTTCCTCCTCTTTGGTGAGGGTGGCGGATCGCGGTGGAGCGGGCTCTCCATGATCTTCAGCAGATCTTGCACAGCGTCGAAACTGTTGACAGGGTCCAAGAAGAGAGGTGGAGCCAGTGCTCTTGTCAATCTTGCTTCACATTCCAGAAACTCCTGAGGTTCAACCAACATTCTCTGTCGTTTTGCAGGATGTCCACGCTCGGTCTGATTGGATGACCCTCCTGGAGATGGTGGAGCTGTAGACGAGGACTGCTGAGGACGCGAGGCAGCATTTGATGCCGACTGTTTCGCCGCTTTGGGATCGGGTGTAGTGGCAAGTAAAGTGAGTTCCGCTTGCAAGGAACGTGGAGTCGGGTGGAGCACGGTAGTGAAAACTCGGGGTTTTGGAGGCTGCTTGGGTTGAGCGGAGTTCGATGTAGCTTCCTCTGCACGATTCTCCGAGTCGCCGGACTGCTCGCCGTTGGTTTTCGCATCGGGTTGATTTCCGGTTGGGGTTTCCTTGGCGGCCGGCTTATCGGAGTTTAATTGGGATTGCTTTGGGTAGGGCACATAAGCCGATGGTGTAACATGCTCGTTATAGTTATGAATCGAGAATGGGGTGTTATTCTCGTTGGAAGTCGGCGCAGTCGACTTCCTGGCCTGGGCTGACACCGACTTGTGATCGACCACGCGAACGATGAGGCAGCCTGTGAATTGCAGAGGTTAGCCAAGTCCACCAGACAGAGGTGAAGTTGAGGCATGTGGAAGCGTGCCTTCATAGAATCGGACATTAGCCCGCAACAGCTCCTCCATCATATCATGGGGAACGGTTCCGGCACGAATGTGTTCGATGATGACCTTCATCTCGGAATTATAAGGGAAGCTTCCATCTTGTTGCTCGAAGCGGAAATGTGTTGGGTGAAGGTGGAGGATAAGTGAGGGCGGGCATTTGGAGAACTTCTTGAGGATGTAAGACGACGTTTTGACTATGACGCACCCGATGGTCAGTACGCAGGGGCTCCGCATGTGGATCGGGTTGAGAGCTTACCATATGGCTCGGGACACCTGTTCCCTGCGCGACGATCATTGTCAATGGATAAGGACCTTAACAATGGTTTTTGTAACCGCGCGGCCGGGTCACCGGGCTTTTGCGCTTCCTTCTTAGGTCGATTCTGAGTAGCCTTGTTCGAGCCGGCAGCCGCATTAGCCGCGCCATTGACGCCATTTGACGTTGGGCCGCCGGCGGAGCTTGCTGAAGCCGGTTGATTCGAGCCGGGCAGACGTTTCGCGGAGGAGGGGGGAGAAGAAGAGGAGGATTGTTGAGACTTGACTCCGTTGACTCCGGTCTGGACGAAAGGCGGGGGCGGTCGCTTCATCTTAGGGGTATGTGAAGTCGGCTTTGAAATTGCGGTCGCCATAGTCTCGGGGATGAACCGCGGCGCGATTATGGTCGCAAGCTGATAAATGCGACCTTGGGGAAACCGGATCCAGGAAGGATGAGGACAGGGCCGTGAGTCGTGGTTGATGATACAGCCGGAGCGCGAGACATGTGGGGAGCGGAGATCGGGGGCGGCACGACAACGAACTGGCCCGATTCAATGCGGACACTTGCACAAAGCGCGGATCGCTACAGACAAAGGGTATGAAAGTCCATCGAACAGACACCTGCAAGGAAGGCAGGGGAGGCTCGGAGCGAGTGGGAAGAGTCGGTCGACGGTCGGTTGTGGCTCTGCAAAGGGAGTTTGTATGATGCCAAGCCGCGGGCGACGTGAAGGAGGTCGGGGTCACCTGACTACCGCTTTAGGCTTAGTGCCGCGCGCCTGCGATATGGAGTATTCCAATTAATATAAATCTTCTATTCATCTACTGAGGAAGATTTGTATTCTTTCCATTCTGAGAAATTAGAGATCATTCAAGTGACAGCTAACACCTAATTTGTTACTGTCGATACATACACTGAAGACCAACTACTACGGTCTTATTCAATATCTAGGCAGTTTGGTTGAAACTAAGTACAAAAAGGCCATATGTAGAGAGTATAGTCATCAATCATTATACCGTGATGGTGACCCTTGGGGCTCTGAGGAGAGTACGTTGCGATTAGGGACTAAGGGGTGCCCTTGGGCTTTGGATGTCTTAGCAGGCTGATGATGGACGCTTCCTCATCAAAACAAACACACCAAAGTGGCTTTGTAGTTGTCACTCATATGAAACGTGAAATCTCGCGAAAGCCCTCATTATCTATGACTATATCTCGCTCGGCTCCAGTAGGTTGCCGATCAAACATAGCCCTAAATGGGATCACAAGAGGCTGTCCGATTATCGACGTTGGCGTAATGACTACCTCCTGAATAGAAAATGCGAGCTGCATATTTGCGGGCTGCTGGACTAGAGGTGGCATTTGGTCGGGTTGCTGGCGTAAATGGTCGATAAGTTGTCTAGTAGTACCCGGTCTACCTATGTTGGGAGGGGCAAGTTGCCATTTCTCAATGCGTAACTCTCTGCTCCTGGATTTGATCGAGACAAGAAGGACAGTTCTAGTGTCTCCAGAAGAATTCTGAAACCACCAGGTTGCGTCGCGCCGGAGCTTTGCCATAGATTCTGAGACACCAGTTTCGATAACAAGTGTCGGCCATCCACTTAACTGGCCAAAAGAAGTCGGGCGGCTCGAAGGATAAAAGCTCTCGTCAGGTTGCTTGCCGTGTGTCGAAACAGTACCAGGGTTCGTGGTTGTTCTCCCCCAGGAAACTTCTGTTCGTGGTATCCCCATTTGAACTCTCTGGTCTTCGATGTAACGCGTTATTTCTGACGTAGTGAACTCATATGAAGCAGATGGCACGACTTTGAAGAGCCCCGTCTTTGCTTCCCACATGAACCGGACTCCAATTTCTGGCAGTATGTCGTCCGCTTCGCTCAGCCTGTCAATGGTCGTTTGGGGCATGCCCATGAGGACCAGCCATTGGTTTCCATCCCCTCCATTCTGCTCCAGTTCGGTGTAAATGGCCTTCAGCGCATTTTGTAACCGTTTCGAACTTGAGCATGACTGATATGTGCGCAGTTGATAGGAGGATGGCAAATCAGCCAGAATATTGTATGGTGCGCTAATTCCGTTGATACCGGATCGTCTGAAGTACTTTGGCGGGCTCCGAAAAGATGTCAGATTTCAAGGAAGCCATGATTGAGAATGATTATCAGGATGGGTGGACTGGATATGGAGTAGATATATATGGGACAATTGGGAGATGAGTGTGAGTACAAGTTTTATGAAAGAAGCCCGTGAAGAGTATGTAGGAGAGATAGGAGGGAATGAAGGTGTGTAAGAAGAGTTTGAAAGATTGTAAAGAAAGTGAATATTATAAGGAACCTGAGGCAGAGATATGGGAAGTGGATGATTAGCGGAGAAAAAAAGAAGAAGAAGAAAGAAAAGGGTTGAGCAAAGCATGTAAACTAGAAAAGTGTAGAGGAGTGCACGTAGTAATGAGTACAATATATAACATGGGGATTTTCATTTCACATACCATCATGATCTTCCATTGCTGTATTATTGGGAATACACAGCTTAATCAGTTGGGACTGAATGTGTGGTGTTGGCTGCGGAAATGAGGTGGTGGATGAGTCGTTTAAGTACTACGCACCATGGCTATCAACACATGAGTATCATACATACATCATGTACCGGATAAGTATTGACCACCTATGACAAAACTCTATACAGAGTTTATATTCCTGAGAATGTTAACGCGTAAACTCGCTGCTATGTGCAAAGGCTTGTTTCATTCAACATAACGCTTCCGTAGAAGCTAAGTAGACCATGCTTCGCGGTCATCATGCAATCAATATTCACACAGGGGTAAACAACATGAAGAGCAAGTCCTCTTCATCTCATCAAGACAGGGGAATCAATAACAAGAAAAAAAGATAAGGTTCATCAAAATAACATAAGGCACACCTATACGCAAGGCAACCGAGACGTTCAGCTAACACTGAAACATCAACATTTCCAATACTCGACTTGAGTCTAGTCGTGACCAGACACCCTCCGCCTCCAATCATCACCAATGCGGTGGACATCGACCACGTTGATCCGCTTGCCAATGCCTGTGACACCCTCCTTCTGCCACCATTTCTCGCCCTTGTCTGCAAGAGCAGACTCATCGTCGCTGTCAACAAGACCACCGTGACCGATTTCGCCTCCGACGACGATGACCGTCTCCCGAACCCAGCCAGAGAAGAGCTTTACATGCTCTCCTGCTTCCCCGGTAAGGGACTCCTGAACATACACTACCTCCGGAGAAAGGTGGCGAAGAAGATGCACAAACCCTGTCGCGGTGCTGAAGGGCATGATGGTATTCTCCTTCTCCACAAGTGCCTGCGCCTGGGTGTACATCGTCTTGAACAGTGGTGTAGAGCCCTCTTCCTCATCGACCTGGCGAGATTCCGCAGACGACTCTCCCTCGGGAAGCTCACCAGACGCAACAGCTTCTTCGGGGGCGATGTTGGAATAGGAAGAGGCAACAGACAAGTCCGGCTGAGAGGAGTTTCCCTGCTTCGGGGCGTGCTTGAGACCGGGGGCATAGATCATGATGAAGACCCTAGCCGTATCCAGGTTGACATGTTCAGGGAGATGAGAAAGGATAGACTACGTAGAAAACAGAAACTCATTAGCATAAACCGCTTTGGCACCTATACCAAACCATCAAGACTTACCACATGCTGAGAAACGATATCCTCCGGATCCACCTGCGCAGACTCCGACGAGACCACAATCGCAACAGTCCTCTTCTTCGTAGCAGACACTGGGCCGCCAACACCAACATCACGAACCGGCAACGCCCCCGTCATAGTCGGCGCAGACTGTTCCGCGCGCTGAGCTCTCGAAGCGACCTCCTCCGACCAGCGAGAATGATCCTCAAAGTCACCCCTATCTTCCTCACGAATCGAGGTCAGCGCACCACCCACGAAAGCTCCCGCGGCAGCGACTCCCGCAGCAACCTTCTTGCTAGCGCCATCGAAGATCTGCTGAGGACTAGGAGTGCGGCGCAGCGCACCCTGCATGCGCGCCATCATGCTAGCATCATCCCCTGGTATATCCGTGGCGGTTGAACGGGCGTAATCGTCCGCATATTCGCCATGAGGGTAACCCTCGGGGGCGGGGAAGCGGCCGTCGTGCGGAGGGGGGATAGTAGTATCGCGGTCGTTATTGTTATTGTTATTATTATCGTCATCGTCCTCGCTGCGTTCGCTCCAGATCCAGGCTGCAATGCTGACAGTTGCGATGCCCACGGTGACAGCTAGAGGCACCCAGTATCCCAGGACGGTCCGATTACCAGTGGAGCTGAAGCCGGCGCCGGCTCCGACCCGCCGGCGGCGAGCATCCTGGGAGTAAGGAAAGGACATCGCGATCACACTGAACTTGGGGCTTAATAGTGGCGCATAGACTGGGATGGGTCGCGGTGAGCTGCAAGTCACATCGCAAGTCTCTGTCTAAGGGAGGGGGGAGCGGAGGGGGCTGGGTAGTAATGATGGGGATAAGAAAGGAGGAGCTAAGTCCTAGTAACTAAGTAGTAGTAGCTGCTACTTTGCCGCGCGGGCTGGGCTGGCCTCGGACGAACCGAGAAACATGTGGCTGGTGATATGATAATAGTTTCCCGCTGTTTATTGGTACCGCGGGTTGCTTTTTCTGCCAGGAGCAACCAATCGTTTCCCTTACGGTATGGTACGGAACTGCCCGGGGTAGACTACTTCTCTCTTCTTCCTCGGCCCCATGGTTTATGCTGCTTACTCCCTGTAATTATGCAGTGCCCGCATAAGCCGATTCATGCTTGCCGTCGGCACGTGGTTCTGGGGTAGTTGGAGATCACATGACTACAATTGGATGTTATAGAACGAGGTCTTGACGTGGAATTATTTCGCTAAAAGTCACAAGATATCCATAAATGCGAAAGACGATCATGCTTAGTGAAATGTGAAATAGGGACTCCTTCTTGCCATTCACTCCGTATCCCCCAGAAGCAATGACCCAATTTTTGAAATAACACCATCAGATAGTAAGCAAAGAGAAGTATGGACGAAAAAGAACTATGTGTACATATGCGAATGAAGAAAAAAAGAAAGTTCGGTGAAGCATAAAAAAACAGACTCAAAGGGAATGTAAATGAACCCAAAGAGAAGCATAGATATCATGAAATCGTGAGTCGAAGGACAAGGCCGCATTTCTCTCTTGCTGCACAAACGATCATTCCCTTCAAATCATCATGTTCGACTCCAAAGGTATTTCAGTTTGTTCTTCGGGCAGCAAAAAGTTGAATCCATCAAATAAATTGTGTTCAAAACCAAACCCAAAGCCATATTCGTTCGGGTTGCTTTCTAAATCTGGAGTTTTTGTGAGTTGCCGTGCGGCCAGCTGCTCTACAGTATACTGATCCAAAGTAGCTGAAAATAGATCCGTATTAGAGCCGTTCTCCGTCCCAATATTGAAGACTAGCGAGTTTGCATCTTCCGCATTCTTGCCATCTGGGGAGCCACCTTGGAGCTCATGTTGGAGGTTTCCTGCGGGCGACAGTGATCGAGGTCTGATTGCAGCAACATCATATGAGTGTTCAATAGAGGGATACATCTTGAGGCCATTCTCAAGCAAGAGCAAGGAGGGATTGACAGTTGTGCATGTGATAGGTTGAGTATCACTAGTGTTGCACACAGGTGATCTTAGATTGTTATCGTTCTTCGAAGCCACTACGGGGCTGCCAGCGGAGGAAGATGCAGACTCGGAACGAGCGTTAACTGCGTCCTTGAAAGACGATTCCGATGCATCCTCTATAGACCAAGTTTCATCATCGTCGCAAGATGCAGAAGTACCATTGGCGAGCAATGTGGGTTTGTAGGGCTTCTCCGAATCTCTCCTTCGATTGATCTCTCTCGCAGATATACTTTCAGGAGTTGAAGGTGTCGGGGAACCAAGGTCTGGTGATACATTCCTCACCATTGGCCCGGGTAGTCTGAGTTGGCGCTTCAGGTCGGCAATATGGTCGTCTTGCCTTGACCAGCTACCCTCCCCCTGCCACACAGTTAGTGATGGAACCATCTGAGTATATGAGTTTGGGGATACCGAAATAGGCTCGATAACGAACGGATCATCTAGGGCCACCGAGGGGTCCATTCTCACAAAGGGCAGAGACACCTGGGAGGTCTGGACATTCTGCATAGCCGTAGTGGTATTGTTCTGGGTACCTACCTGCTGTATGATTTCCTCGTGGCAGGGACTCTGACTCACGCGGGAAGAGAGGCTCTGATTTGAAGAAGCAGTCCGGGCTGTATCGAAAGAAGACTGTGTCGAACCAACACTAGACTCTGGTTTTCTCATAGGTGTCTGTACTAGACCAAAGGAAGCCTGTGATCCCAGGGAAGATCTCTGTGCTGAATCATAAGAGCTCTGCACTGGCTTGGCAACGGGCTGCGCCATTGGTGACATCGACACGTAATAGTACGGACAAATTGGCATATAATTCGTCCCAGACCAATTAAGGAGCTCGTAGTTGTCTGGCTCCGACCGCCTCACCTCAGCCAGAGCAACATCGAAGAGATAACCAGGCTTAGTCCAGAAGTACAACTCGCCCAATGTGTTCCTCCACGATTCCATCATCAATGCATGCAAATATGGGTCGGGTGCCAAAAGCTGAGCATCAGGGGTAGGCGGCTGTAGCCATCTTAGATGGTCGCCTCGGGCATAGAATCGAATAACTCCGTGCATGAATTCGCCATCGTTAACGGGGATATCGATAATCTTTGAGAGGGCAGCGGCGGTCATCAGAACGGACTTTCGTGCCTCTTGGATCTTGCTTGGCGGATCAAGACAGACAGAGCAGTCGTAGCCGTGTAATGCAGCCGTAGGGCGGAGGATAGTCCCAGGGGATGCCCAAGGAGGTATGGGGGTGTTCCTCCATTCAGGGTAGAAGTGATTGCACGCGAACCAGTGAACAACCAATTGGGTCATGTTGAACTGGTGTGTCTACCACCGGGTTGAAGCACACGAGGGGATGTGGTGGATGAGAAGTATCCCGAGGAAGTCAAGATCAGATGGAAGAGAGGAGGGAGATTGAAAATGCGTCTAGAGGAAGTTTCCATCTCTGTATGGAGTAGAAACTCCAAAGCTGATGGGAAACAAAGAAGGCCATCTTGTGTTATCGACGTAGTGAAGGCGAGGGTCTTCGACGCAGTGAAGGACAAAACAGACAATGGCCTTATGAACATCGAGGCAACTGGGCTGTTTGAGTAGTAGGCAAACATGTTGCTGCTGCTGGTACTGCTGGTGATGGTTTATATTCTCGAAAGTCATCTGAGAGAGGGAAGGTGGGTAAACGTGGTGGGATGGATAGTGATATGTCATGTATACCTAGAACTTATATAGTACTATCGAATATCATCATGTTGGCTAGTGGCCCCTAGTACTAAACTTGCAGCGTGGGCATATACTCTCTGGGCTAAGCAATAATGCGATAGTAGAAACCTTCCACACTACACAGCATAGGAAAATATCAAGAATGTATGAGTTGATGAACTTATAGTCCCATAAGATGGGGGTAATTGGGAGAGTTTGTGTCTCAATCATTGATACATCTTGTGTCCATTCTGCAGATAGTAATATGCCAGGTTACATATCCAGTGGATAGTGAACAAAAATATGATCAGCTACTAAGCTAGTTGACACTGATTTTACAAGCCTCCCATTGTGTGTAAGTCATAATCCGCAATTTGATCCCGATGGGAGTAATGTTTCGGAAGGAGTATACTATACATCTATTCTAATCACATCATAGGTCATGTATGTTTACCTGTGATACATCCAGGTCAGCCTTCAATGTACTACTTAATAAGTAGATACTGCAAAGTTAGCTAGAACAGACAATACTCTGGCCTACTTTATTGATTCCAGAGCTGTACAGTATGAACCCAATAGTCAGAGGGAAAAAGATATTAACATCCTCCATTTCGTTACTATTTTCGTTCCTATTGTCCGCACAATGGTCTCATCCAATGTACAAAATGCCCTCACACCGGTGAGCGAACGTGCGTGTCTCACGCTATCCCACCAATACCGGAAAAGCTGAAGCAAAATCAGCGACAAGGACCTATTATTAAGTACCAAAAATATGAGGGTCCCCACTGAGTAGCATCTCCACTCGTAGCTGAAGCAAAGCCTTTCTCATTTCCAGACGAGGAGTAGCCATTGAAGAAGCAGAAAGTGCTGGAGTAATTGCGACACTGTGAGTGAATAATAGCTTCGCATAGCAAACGAAGTTGCAAATCCAACTCACGGACAACATCAGATCACGCAATGTTATGATATCGACTTATCATCGCCAGACCTGATCAGTTCATGAAAGGGTTCCGGTTCCTCAATCCTTCTATTCCCGAAACCCGTGGACCCCGCAGTGGGTCGAGATAGGAATATTTGTCTGAGATAATCCCGTGCGCGGCATCTCAAGTCTCATTCATTGCTCTGGGAGTTAGTTCATGGTCCGGCGAGCATTGGGCAAATCAATCAGCATGTTGGATGGAGATTGGAAGGATCCTTGATCTCAGCCAGCCCTTGATCATTAGAGCTCCACTTGCTGATCACCTTGGATGTTGTCAAGAATTGGAGATAAGAGTCAGGCAAGTGCAAGGATTGTAGTTAGTATCTGTATCTGGCTTCGTCTTATCAACAATAGATTTCGGGTTATATTTTTCTTTTTTTTTTTCCTTTATATTTTCCATCCAGCCACCAGACAAACTCGGTGTGGATTCAGAGTCGGCAGACAATCGGTAGGCCGCCGCCCCTCTTCACAGGGCGACTGCAGTGAGCACGAAGTGAGAACGCTTAAAAACCAAGGTCACCAAGAACGAATGGATTTCCTACCGGGCAACACAAACCCCGCTTGGTGGCTTTCCAGTTGCAGCGACATGCAGATTCCGCTAATGGCTTAACCCTCTTCTTTTTGGCCCGAGAATCATGTTGCCGCAGTTACACCACTTATCTCCTTTTTCTTTCTCGCTTTCTTTTCTTTTTTTTTTCTGTCTCGTAGACTTCTTACTGTACGAGTTCTTGGTGCTCCACTGGTTCTCTTTTAGTGACTAATGGTGGATAGAACTAGATGGTTAAGGAACTTCCGATCGGGGGTAACAAGCGGAACATCATACTTGGCGGGAAGGTCTCACTGCTGGCAATGTCTTAGTTCTTGGTGGTGGTGGTAAATGATGGTGGTAGTGAGGGAGATACGACATCCAGTCAGATGACCGTTCCTGGCACAGGCACACGAACCACATCAAAAAGTAGTAGTAGAAATCGCATGGAGCCCACGGGCACCAAGCAAAAGCAACAACAACATTATTAACAGAAACGAACCAGTCAAGATAGTGCGGAGTACCCTGTACGGATGCCCCCCCTTTCAAAGTAGTATCTCTCTTTATCTCCCCCTACCGTGCAGCTTGCAGGTAAAGAAAAAAACAAAACAAACACAATGTATGGTTAAACGGCTTATTATGCCAGGACAGATCAGAGGGTCACTCGGTGTTTCAGGTATATTCCGGTTACAATGCTTGCAAGAACATGCAGTAGGTCGATACTTAAATGCAGAGTGATGTGTCCTGCTTAGCTCGATCAACTAGCGGAAGTAGTAGTAAGGAATGGGAATTTCAGGCATCAAGGCCCTACCATTTGTATTAACGATTATATTAATTTCTCTGGTTATAGGAAGGAGAAGGGGATCTCAATCTCGGCCGCAGAAACCAAAATGGCGGGCGGGCCGGGAAATTTCCAGTTTTCTGTGACCAATCATGGATTTATCGTCTATCCTGGTGAGGGATAATTGCTATGGTGGTTGTTTATCCCTTGCCTTCCTTTTGGACTTTTTGGTGTGTTGTTATTCTTTTTGAGGGACACCATCTGGTGATAAGCCGTAAGTAGTATGCGCCCGAATGATAATGCGGGATTTAGCTGGAGGTCTCAAGGGGGACGAGGGAGATTGATTGGCTTGGGTCGGTTCCTACCTTTTTGAGGAGGTTCGGATATAAAGCCCAGGCTGACTCGTTACTACCGTCTCACTAGTAGTTAGTAGTCATAGGTGTAGCGATACTACAGTACTATATAATCTAGCCCCTGGATGGTTGCGACCGGACCAAAGAGGGTACGCTGGTGAAGTACGGAGTCCGGAGTAATTGCTCCTAGTTTCTGCCTAAAAGTACGATGTCTGAACCCCAAGATAACACCAGGGGAAGGGAAGATCTGGGTTGAGAATGAGGCGCCGTTTCCGACCGATGACTGTCCGCCGGAGCCATGTCCGCAATGATGAACTCTTACTATTCCTTACTAGCTTGATACTATGGAGTACTACTCTGTAATACTAGCAGTCTAGGTGTAAAGGCCACCTGACATTCTTGCGTGCGAGGGATCCATGGCATGGCTAGACTACAGTAGACTACTAGACGGTTGCTTCGGTACTGCCCACTAGTGACTAACTACTGTATGTACTCCACACTTTGGTTTCCCCGGATATAAGGGATTCGCCGTTTGAGGCGGGATTGGGACAATCAAGCGCGCTTTGCTCGTGCTAGGTTGATAGTCCCTAGCAATTGGCCCATAGCCACCAATAGCGTAGTAGAGAGTGTTAATTGGTGAATCAGATGGTTCAACCTCTCACCTAGATGAGTATATTGGAACTTATAGCTAATTTCTTGCAGACACCCAACCACTGCAGTCATCGAGAAAGAATCCGTTGGTAGGAAGCTCGTCTATCAACTCCATGGAGGAGTCAGCATCTACCACTCCGTTTGCGTCGTAGCTACCAGAATGTCCGTGCCAGGTTACTCCCCAGGTTTCGAGGCTCCTGGGCTATATATTAGAGAGGACCGTGCGGTTGGGCCATCCAATGGCAGGAACCTTTGTCAGGATATCTGGCTTTTTGGACCTGGATCTCTCAACTCCGCATTTTCGCTGTCCCCGCTATTGAGACACACGTCAACGTGAGCTAGTCGAAAGCGCCACTGATTGAACACAACGGTCGACCATGACGCCGCTTGGGGTAACTGACAGCCGTTGACATGGTACGGAGCGGTGCAAATAAGCATTAGGCAAACCAATGGTCAGGCACCCCGCGTAGGTTGGTCGGTCGGTTCGATGATGTTCAGGCCAGCCATTGCAATCCCTTGACAAGTTTGTATTCTATTATCATTAGCTAATTAGTTGGTGGCATCATGATGGGTCTATGACATGCGTTCCTTTCGGCCTTTGCTCGGATGTTCGGATAAGCATCCCAGCATCCAGGGACAACAAACAAATATACTATCAGTGTTAGTAGCACAACGGCACAGTATTTGACCCAGCTTTCGACAGTTCGGCATTCGTATGAACCTCGTTCCGACTGATAGATAGTCGGGTTAAAACGGTGGAACCGCGGTTGACGTCCGATGCTACGGAGGACACTCTCCGCACCGTATGATGTTCGTCTGGCTATTGTGTAGTGTGTATGATTCGGACCCAAAGATATCCTTTTTTTTTTTTTTTTTTTTTTTTTTTTTTTTTTTTTTTTTTTTTTTTTTTTTTTTTTTTTTTTTTTTTTTTTTTTTTTTTTTTTGGCCCCCTGTCTTCTCGTGAACGTACGCGATCATGAGCTCACAGATTACATGTTCCATGCATGTTTTACGCCCGCTCAAACACAGTGAAAAGCCAGAGCATAATGATTACAGGCTACCAGGATGACTGATGAGGCTTGAAGGGCTGGCTGGCAGCGTCGGCGCCGGACCAAGCCATTCTTATTACGTTAGGTCTTACCGGAACCTAGTCGACCGTGTCCAATCTTGACCCCCCGTGATACTATCTGCGGAATTCCCGACTTCCGCATATTGAACTAACCATTAGTCCCAAGGCTAGCCCGCTCACGGTCCTGGTCCTGGACCTTGACCCAAGCTTAGGGAGGAGTTGGGACTTGGGACTCATTGGAAGGGCTGACCTTAGTGGTTAGCGCACCCGAACTGGAATCACCCTCCTAGTATAATTTTCTCTCCCGCGACATCGGCCTAACTACGTTCGGGGCTAGCGGTATATACCTAAACCTGCATTTGCTTTAGGAGCTGTGATTGGCGTTGGTCAACAAGTAAAATACCTCACTAGTAACTGGTTGGTACCGGGGAGGACCAGTAGTGCGGCCCACCGGTACGGAGTACATACCGGTACCCTTTCCCCTGGAGGTACGTAAGATGGTACTTCCGGGTACATCAAACAATTCCCCCCCAAGGTTGTTGTTGTTTTGTGCTAATCCTATCTGGACCAAGAAGGCAGGTACATAACAGCTGAGCTGCAGAGACACAAGACTTGACAGTAGTGGATAGATACCGACTATACTACAATCACTCTCTATCTCTGATAATCAATGCACCTCGGCGGGTTTGTTTCCCCTCTCGAAAGAAAACTTTAAAAAAAAAAAACAATACTACTCTCGCGACTCCTGTATTTAACATGGGGATTTCAACTTCTCAGCTGAGCAAGACATCCATTGTCAGAGTCCTCGTCCAGCTGGGAAAATACATCCACTCACCGTGACCCTTCAACCAGACTGGACTGGACAGGTCGGGAGTCCCCACTCCACCCTCCCAAACGGAGAGAGAGACGCGAATGGATTGATTTCTTTGGTTATTACGCGATATCTTACAGTAAGATAGTGAGGTAGCACTCGGCATCCCTCGAGTCACCTGCGCTGTCAACAAACCAGCAAGATAACGCGATCCCCTTCAGTTTTCCCCTCATCTTTTCATCTATTCTGGCTGTTTGTTCTCCGTGGAAAAGCGCCCACAGGAGGTCCCGCTGCCAATACCATTCTCCTCTCCCAAGCGTGTCTGTCTATCCATGGATGCGCCTCTGAATCGCGTCGCCGTAAACCGGAGCTTTTGCAGGGCGCGCCATCTCGCTTGGCTGGACTAACTCCCCGCAGTCGATGATTGAGCCTCCCCTTGGGCTCTTCAACCCCGGATAATCTTGGCCCTCCTTGCGTGCCCCGACCGGCAAGGCTTGGTTCGCTACCTAGCTAGCTATCTGGAAAGATCTGGAGCGAGATGAATTTCTGCTTCCTGGATGTCCCTTTTCCCGGGCGTCGGCAAGTAAGAGAATGCCCAGGTAGCTCGGCAAGACAGCTTCCCCATGGTGCCCCCACGCACTACTACCAGATGGTGTGCTCTCTGGACCCGATCGATGGACGTGCCGAGGCTCACAAGTCGAGTTGAGTCAGTCCAGAGCAGCGGAAGCTTCATCCACCTCGAAAGCATACCAGGAGGTATGATATATCTCAGATAGACACCGCAGATCTGAAATCGCACCCGGAATTGCTTGTTTGCTATATGTCAGCCCGCTGCAGCTAATGACAAGTGGAAGGAAAATTATCCTCCGTGAAATGCACTTTATGCTGTCATTTCTCCGGACTTGAGATGCTTCTGCGGGGTTAATTTGGCAGTAGGAAAACAATTGCCTCTGATGCAATGCGTATAAAATCAGCAGGCTGTCAGTTTGACGGTGTCTAGCAGTCGACTGTCCTCATTAAGAGGTAAATCAAGCACCATCAATCATGTTCGTAAAATGTCAATTTCTGGCCCTCGCGGCCAGTCCGATGATTTTGGCATACCTTTCTGGTGCTGTTCATAAAGAAGACTTTGATTGGGACTCGACGAAATACCTGTTCGTGCTTGCTATCATTTTCTTGCCGTATTCTAAGAGCCAGTAGAGCGTTGCTGATCCATATGCCAGCATCGCCTTCGGTGACTCGTATACATATGTTCAAGGAACCGATGGACTACAGAACTATAGTTTCATCGGGGATTTACAGCACTTTGCATATGACCCACACACTCTGCTGACTGACAAAATCGTGCAGAACCAGGTGACAACCAATTCATTTCTTTTTGCACTATACCAACACCTCATCAAAGCAATACTGATGCATCCACAAACCGTAGACCGCCACCGCAGAAGGCGGTCCCAACTGGGTAGAATACCTAACAGGCTGCGGTCTGGACGAGGGCCTCACCTCACCCTCCGACTGCGACTTACAACTATGGGATTTCGCATTCGCAGGATCAGACATCTCAGTTGAATAGTACGCCCACATCTACAAGCCCATACACAAACAACCTCCCCATACATCCTCCTCTAACCCACCCCAGCACCCCCCTCCACCACGACTTCACCGTCTCCCTCGTCAACCAAGTCAAACAATTCACCACCTACGCCCAACCCGTCCTCCAAAAAACCATAGACCCCTCCCACGCCCTAATCGCCATCTGGATCGGCATCAACGACATCGGCGACAGCTCCAAATACGACGTCGACTTCCCAACCTTCTACAACGACCTCATGAACACCCTCTTCTCCTCCGTCCAATCCATCTACTCCCAAGGCTACCGCTCCTACCTCTTCATGAACCTGCCCCCGCTAGACCGCAGACCCGGAAACCTAGGTAGCGCTGATCCCAGCCCCAACGCGACACAGATCACCTGGTACAATGATGCGTTGGCGCAGCATGCCAGTGCGTTTGGTGCTCGCTACGCGGATACCAATGTCATGTTGTTTGATGCGCATAGCGAACTCAGCTATATTTTGGATCACCCGGGCGAGTTTGGTATTGTGAATATTACGAATTTTTGTGCTGGTTATGATCAGCCGGATATTGCCTGGGATTATCGGAAGTATGGATGTCCGACGCCCTTGCTTACTTATTTTTGGTTCAATTCCGGACATATGACCAGCCATGTTCATGAGATGTTGGCGGGGAAGGTGGGGAGGTTTTTGTTGGGGGAGTAGTCGGGGTGAGAGGTAAGTAGTAAGTGGTAGGTAGTGGTCAGTTGGATATATTTCTAGGCTAGAAGGAGGATTTTATAAAGCCATTAGTAGTAGTACTAGCTGGCTGGCTCTTCCATGCTCGAGATATGATAGCTGAAAGTACTAGCATCATTCTAGATAGTATATAATCACAACGGGAGTCATATCAAATCACATAAATAATTGACCAGTGAAATCAATAGAAGTACTACCATTCAGCAAATAAGCAAACATGCCACATATTAGTACTAGTAAAAACTTTCCACCCATTTATTAATCACCTGAATGGAGTAAACCAGTGTGGTGGTTTCTTAGACGAAAACTCGAAAGCTTAAAGAATATACCATACTGCTACTACTAGCACTACAGTACTAAATGGTATCAGACACCAAAGTCACAGACTATAATCCTACACTACTATTATCATAATAATAGCGATTAAAAACACCGCAATGCCAATCCTACTACTACATGTATGTATGTGTGTAACCCCACAATAACCTGAATAACAAACTAAGTAGTAACTCAAGTGAGTGCTATGAGTTTACTTCAGTTCCATCAGAAATATGATCATGATCTATGGAATAGTAATGGTACTCACGTCATGATATAGGCTATCGATGTACTATGTCATCGCGAAAGTAATCAGCTACCACTACTTCTACTACTATCGCCTACCAGCCAGATCTAAATAAATACAGAAATGAAGAGCACCAATAGGAAAATATCGAAAAAAAAAAGAGACTATACCCCTCAGCCAAACCTCCATAAATGAAAGAAGAAAGAAAGAGGGGGAAAAAAGAAAGAAATCACGTAAGACAGAGAAAACCACCAGAAGCGAAGCGTTACATTGCAGATGAGGTGAATTTTGTCTACTTACTACTACCACCAACCACATACATGCATACTACAGAGCAACCACGTCATTAGAAAGGAAAACCAGGATCGGATCCTTGTAGTCATAATCCTACTACCTGTTTATTACGATAAATCGATTCAATACATACCAATAATACTCACTAACCAGTTACCAGAAAATAGGTAATACTAAGAATATAGTATACCTACATACCCCCACTCCCCAAACAAGGGTCTATACAAGGATAATGCATGTTGATTGGGGACATGCCAACCAACCAGCCAGCTACCTAACCAATTAGTACTAACACTACTGTGTACAAAGTGGTCAATCCGCTTACCCGCTGCCTCTGCCTCCTGTGTGGCTGCTGCGGCGTTATGCAGCCACCGCCTGTTTCAATCTGGCGTGTTTTGTACTGCTGCTGTCACTGTCGTATTCCTTATTGCTTTTTCTTCTCTCGGGGATGGAGGGGATGTTGCAGAACGAGGCTGGATAGCAGGGACCAAGCCGGTAGTTTACTATCGAGATGCATCGACTTCATGTAGGTGACTTGAGGGGGTTCCATGTGATAGTGTGAAGGCGCGCCCGAGGAAGGCACCAGCAGTTTTGTCTACAGGTAGAAAGTGTAATGACAGTATCAATAATGCTAAAACAGAAGCAGATAGGTACAGTTTCTCTCCAATTATCAGCATGCAAGTGAAAGCTACACACTATCTAGTCCCATCCGTTCTGGGAACAAGCCAACTGATACATAACTTTTTGTTTGATAAACCACAACAAAGAATGAGAAAATTAACGTGTATCCATGAGGAATATCAGTGCACAATCGTGTAGGTTTCGAGGTCACCCATTGTCGGGGGAGCCTGTTGTTGTAAACTGAGCAAAACACGCGAATAGTCTATCGTGATATCGACGAACGCCGCCCGTACCGTGGTTACGAAAAAGGAATCATGCGAAGGAAAATGAACGTCTACCGATGTGAGAATGGAATACAAGCTCAGTGGATGAACTGAGCAGCGAGGTCAAAAGGTTACCAGCGACGGTTGCCACCAAGAGGAGCAGCATTGGAAGCAGTGAAGTGGTTGCCGCGGCCACGGCCACCACCACGGCCACCCCAGCGGCCATAGCCACCGTGGCCATGACCACCGCCGCCACTGTAGCGGACCATCTCGGCGAGACGGGGGTCAATCTGCTGCTTGGCCTCAGTGAGAATGGTGACCAAGTCACGAGCCTGCTTGGAGTCTGCAAGAGGTGACATGTTAGCATTATGCTTCGACCAGACCATCTGTGATGGAAAATGTAACTTACTGTCAGTGGTAAAGAAGGTGATGGCGGTACCCTTGGCACCGGCACGACCAGTTCTACCAATACGGTGAACGTAGTCCTCCGAGTTGTTGGGGTAGTCATAGTTGAGAACGTGTGTGATGTCGCGCACATCTTCAAACACATGTAACGTTAGCAAACAGAGCATTAGTCAATTGAGCAACGTGGCTTAGGAGCCTTTCTCAGTCGTATGAGACTTGATGCATCTCTCTCTCTCGCTCGGACTTAAAATCATCAAAAGATCCGTGACAGAAGAGTCCGAGGGTGGCAAATATCGTGGTCCTAGAGCAACCTTGGAATGCAGCTTCAACGAGTCGGCAAGAGAGGAAGTTCCCCTCCCTCTACCGGCCAAGTTTTTAAAGGGTTGATATGGTGAATCAGAACAGAAGAGTAATACGTCTGCTACACTGCACTGTGAGTCCAAGGCCCTCCTGGCTAGAGAACCATTTCAGGAGACCCGACAAAGCCTGGAAGAGTCATACACACCAACAATTGGTGGAAGAGAGTTAAGCACCGTGCCATGGTCACGCAACCTCAATACGGGTGAGGGTGACTTGGCGGCAAGAAAGGAAGGGGGGAAGGGGGAGGGGAGGGGAGGAGTTTGCGATTTATTCATACCGATACCACGGGAAGCCACATCAGTAGCCACCATGATTGGGCTCTTGCCCGTCTTGAACTCGTTCAAGACCCAATCTCTCTCTTGCTGTTGCTTATCACCGTGAATAGCTGGAACGCAGGTTAGCAAATTGCTCTTTCAGTGTCAGGATCAAGGGAGCTTACAAAGTGCCGGCCATCCGTCCTGGCGGAGGAAGCGTGTGATCTCGTCAGCGATGCGCTTGGTGCCGGTGAAGATAAGGCACTTGTTGCCGCGGTTCTCCATGATCTTCTCAAGGTGCTTGATCATCTTGTCGCGCTTCTCGAAGTCCGAGACGACCTCGACGATCTGGGTGATACGGTGGTTGGCCGACAGATCCATGGAGCCAATGTTGACCTGGATGTAGTCGTTGAGGAAGTCAGAAGCAAGCTGACGAACCTCCTTGGGCCATGTAGCGGACCACATGCAAGTTTGACGGTCAGGGCGAATCTGGGAGATGATCTTGCGGATCTGGGGCTCGAAACCCATGTCCAGCATGCGATCGGCCTCATCCAGAACGAGGTAGGTAACACGACGAAGGTTGGTGCGACCAGCCTCGAGCATGTCAATCAGACGACCGGGAGTCGCAATGCAAACTTCGACACCACGGCTCAGGTCACGGATCTGAGGACCCTTGGGGACACCACCGTAGACACAGGTGTTGCGAATACGAGAAGACTTTCCGAACTTGGAGATTTCGGCCTGAATCTGAACGGCCAATTCACGGGTGGGGGCGAGGATAAGGACAATGGGGCCGTCACCGGGGGCGAGAAGAGGCTGGGCGTTGATGTGAACGATGGCAGGAAGACAGTAGGTCAGGGTCTTTCCGGAACCAGTCTCAGCGATACCGACGACGTCGCGACCAGAGAGGGCCATGGGCCAACCCTGAGACTGAATAGCGGTGGGGCGGTCGAAGCCCTGGGCCTTGACCTCGCTGAGGACGTACTGAGGGAAACCCGCCTCGTCGAAGGTCTCGACGGGGCGAGGGACGTTTCTTCCCTGAACAGCCATCTCGTGCTTCTTACGGAACTCGTCGACATCACGCTGAGAGCGCTCGGCGACATCGGCGTGTTCCTTGTAGAAAGACTTCTCGAACTTGGGCAGGGAGTCAAGGTCCCATTCCTGCTTCTTCAGACCAGAGCCCAGGTTGGACATGCGGTCTCCGCCAGCACCGCCGGCACCACCTCCTCTGCCACCATAGCCGCCGCCGCCGTAGCCGCCGCCATAGCCACCACCGCCGTAACCACCACCACCACCGCCGCCGTAGCCTCCACCGTTGGAGTAACCGTTACCGTTACCGTAGCCGCCGCCGCCGCCGTTTCTGGAGCTATATGTCATGTTAGCAAGCATATTCGTTCGAGAAATACAGGTTTTCGACGTAGTGTCGAGAAGAGCAGACAGGTCCAGAAGGGTTGACGGTTGACCGGATCGCGTGACAGACCGAACCGCAAGCCAGGCTGGGATAGCCAGGAAGCGATCAGTCGCGATTCAGGTCGCACAGCCACAAGGCTGGCTTGCACTCGAACAATCCATCTAGAACAGCGCTCTTATTGCGAGGAATAACTTACCGGTAGGAGTCGCGCTGGTAGCCGCCGCCACCGCCGTAGGAAGACATAATGATGTTATGTGAAGGAAGAGAAAAACAAGTTTTTTTGAGGTTAGAAGAAACCGGGGACGTCCAACAAGACCACGATGAGACGGGACTGGAGCGAGGGAATCAACAAAGAGTAGTCTGAAGGAAGTAACACAACCTTCGAAGACGAGGAGATAGAGGGAGGAGAAAGAGAGGAAGGAGAGAAAAAGACACACAGAGAGAGAGTGAGGGAGAAAGGATCAAGCAGAAGATGGAAGGAAGAAAGAAAAAGGGAAGCGACGGGCGGGAAGCAAGCGAAGAAAAGAAAAGAAAAGCAAAAACCGGCGGAGGCAAACACTCGCCCGTTGCGGCTTAGCGCAGGGGATTTGGCGCAGAAAATGCGTTGAAGCTGCATGCTGATTGGCCCCCGCCGCCACCGCTGATTAAGGCGGAAGGCGATGGTGTTTCCACTTTCGACTTTTCTTAGTCTAGATTGCAAAGAGAGAGCAGGACGGTCAGATCTTTTCATGGCCAGCTATAAGCATATTGGGGTCATTTATGCAGTCGATGTCATTGTACATAGTCTATAAATCCTATCTTAATTTGGCTTGCCCTGCATTTTCCCTCATCTCAGTAGCTGCTCGGTTTCCCTTCCTCTACAAATGTTTGCCACCCAGTCCCATGTCCCAGAAGCTAATCTCCAACTCTGTCGCTCGTATGAAGATCTTGATCAATTCTTCCACTCGACTGGGCGAAACCTGTCGCATATGCGTCTCAAGTAGTTCTAAGCCAATGTTAGCCATTTCCACTGCCGTCGTAGGCTGTCATCTGCTCAAACGGAGCCTCACCAGATCCTAAGCGCACGGCTTCGGTATAGTCCTCCGCCACATAGTTCTCAATCCACTTCCAGTACCGGTTGCCCTCGCGGAGAGACTTCTTGTCGCTGTACAACCTTTGTGCAATTGCCCCGTACCCGAGTAAGCAAGGTGCAAGGGCCACCTGCAATGCAAGCCAATCCTGCGATTGTCCGATATCAAGGATATACCGGCCGTATGCGGTGCATGCTGTTCAAGGACAATGGATTGTCAGCGAACCTGCCTATGTAGTCACAACTGAACAACTCGAAAGCTGTCACTCACCAATGGTTTCCGGTGTGCTCTCCATTTGCTCTTTCGAAAGACCAAAGGACGCACAGTAATCGAGGTGCAACGCGGTCTCATGTTGGATGTGTAGAACAATCTTGGCTGACTATAATGAGATCACACTGTCAGCTCGTTGCATCGCATGTCAATTCAGTAGAACTATACATACCGCAGCAATGGATTCCATGTCTCCAGCTTTGTATGAAGCTAGGGCGTTGCTCCGGGCAAATTGAACCTAGATTGAGAGTCAGCAAGCCACGTTTACAGAACTAATCACGAAAATCCTACCAAGTAAAGATAGTCTTGCACGAGATATGACTTGAATCTTTCCTCTGAAAGTGTGCCATCTCCCATCCTCTTGACAAACTCGTGCTCGGTGAAACGGATCCACGCTGGTTGGACGTCAGGACGGTCTAGAGCATATTCTACAAAATGTCCGCTGCAAACCATTATTAGCAGATCGAGCCATCCCTCGATCATCAAGACACTCACGGAGAAAATGGTAGACAGTAAAAGGAATGAAAGTGATTAATCGGCCCACTGCCCTTTCCGAGATCAATGCTAGTCTTGATACCTGCCTCAACAAAACGAACCGCGCTCTGAACTGCCCGCCTCATATCCTTACCATGGGCGAGATTGGCCGATATGGCCGAGGCAAGTGAGCAGCCAGTGCCGTGAGTATTCTTTGATATTAGATAGTCAGTCTCAAACAAGGTAATGTCTTCTCCGTCGAAAAACACATCAATAACCTTGGAGGCCTCTTCATGATTCTGCGCAGTCCGGTTATCACCGGTGAGCGGCAAATGACCGCCCTTAAGCAGGACACCCTTGGAACCTAAGGAGCAGACCTGATTTGCGAGCTGAATGAGGCCAGGGAGATCTGTTGGCTCTGGGACGTCCACACCGGCATCTTTCAGTAGCAGCACAGCTTCGGGAATGTTGGGGGTGAGAACAGTTGTCAAGGGAAGAAGCTTTGTGCGCAGACCTTTAATGGCTGCTTCAGGTAATAGACGTGACCCACTGGTAGAGACCATAACCTGTTAATTCCCGAGTCAGAAATAGAGGCTTTTTTTCAAATCAGTCACCACGTAACACAGGGCAAGGCTACCGGATCCAGCACCACCGCAGGCACTTGGTGCACGGTCAATGCTTCAGCAATGACATCGATGGTCTCTGCAGAAGAAAGCATCCCTATCACCCTGTCAGTCATCGAGAGGAAGGCTTAGAAGAATGAATGCTCATACCCAACTTGACAACATCCGCACCAACATCTTCCAGGCCGGCATTAATCTGCTTTTTCACGAACTCTGCGGGGACAACAAAGATGTCTTGCACGCCCAAAGTGTTCTGGGCTGTGAGACCAGTCGTGGCCGTAAGAGCATAGCAGCCATGTGCAGCCAGGACCCTCTGGTCCGCTTCCAGACCCCTAAACCCCGCGGAAATGCATTAGCTTGACAGGTCTAAAACTGGGAGTGTCCATGCTCAAACATACGCGCCACCGGAGCTGTCTGATCCCGCAATGACCAATACCCGCGCGACTGACATGACGGCGGTCAATAGGGGACTTCCTGCAATGTCTAAAGGGATCAATTGAGGAAGACCAGGTCGCCAGAAGTCAGGGAAAACAAGGAGCGAGCATGTGATGGGCGAAGTTGATGGCGGGAGACAGCGGCGGGCAGAGAAAGTGCCGCGCTGGATTGGCGGGGGTGCGGGGCTTTCCCGATTAGGCAATCCATATCTCGAGAAAATTACAATACAATGTCATTCATGCCTATTAATCCTCATTCCATCATCTAGAACAAAACAATGCCCGCTATTCACATTGATGACCAAGCCCCAAATCCGAACCACCCAAATATAAGCTATATACAAAACAGAAGAACCCCATAATACTCAATCATGGCAGCATGAAGCGGAACAGACTGTCCATTTCAACCCATTGCCGGCCGCACTTCTTCAGATATGCGTCCACAACGCCTTTGATGGTTCCAAACCGTATGCGGTTGAACTCTGCCAGGGCCGTCACACTGTCCTTCTTTTCTCCAGTGGGCTCCTTCTCTGCCGCTTTACGAGCCTTGTCCACGTCCCAAAGTCCTGCGAAGTAGAGTAATTGGTTATACATCTGTTTCTCCGAGTACTCGTACGTCATCCGACCAAGGCAGCCCTCGGCGTGACCCCGGGGTCCAAGACACCGGTGTCCATACACGCTGATTTGTCTAGTCCGGTTGCCGCAGGCCGTGTCGTCACAGACGAGCCAGCCCTCATAGTACTTCGATGTCTGTGCACGAATTTGTGACTCTAACTGGGCAACAATCGTCAAGACAGAGAATGTCTTCTGACAAGCCTGGTTGGGGCAAACGATACCATTGGCAGTGCACATGTGGGTGGACTGCGCGAGTCCTTCGAAGACCGACTTCTCCTTACAGAACCGGCAGGTAAGCGTAAACCGGGTAGCGTTCTCGAACCGCACAGAGTCTGGAATCTGTGACTCGAGCGGGAAGATATCGGCATTCTGTTGGTTGCTCCCACTGGAGCTATTGATCTGGTACTTGCGGACATCAAGCCCCAAGCACTCGGCTAGTCGAACGGCATCAGTGCCAGGAATAGGGGCACAGAGACGTTCGATTGGGGGGAAAATCTGCTTGAGAAGGTAGAATTCGATATCAGGCTTGAGTCCCGAATCCGGCTTCATCACATCCTGGGGTGTGTATGACCGCTTGGCTGGTGCGAGAGACGAGGTCTCGGCATCTCCGTTCGTTACAACATACGATATGACGTCGTTAGGGCGAACCGTTTTACCGCGGGCAAGCTCGCGCAAGGCAACCTGTACCGGGGGCATAGACCCCTTGTTAGGATATTCCTCGGGTCGCTTGGAAAGTTTCTAACCAAGCGAGTTAGCGTGTGTCAACGAGTGTGCTTTGATATAAACATACCGTGTAAATGACGTATTTTTGGACAGGGACGGAGTACTCGCGCATCTTCTCAGCCAACTCGCGTAGATAGTCATGGACTCTGTTGAGAACAACCTCCTGATCCTCACCGGAGAGAACTTCATTCAGCAGCTTCTGAGAGACCTCCTTTGACAACGAGCAGTATTCACGCCTCTTCATGTCCAGACCCTTGACTTCGAGCTTATCCACGTACTTGCCATCGACCTCGGTCATGTTGATGGCGGCATATTTCTTCTTGGCGTGAAGAAGAAGACGACGGAACACATTGTCAATGTCGATCTCCAGCAACCGGTAACGTTCGTTTACGGATTTCTTGAACTCATCACCGACCTTTAGCGCATCGCTGATCGTGTCCATGTTCGTGTTGATCATGACCGAGTCAGTATCACCGTAGATGACTCTAAGCTGTTTGGACTCTGCCAGCTCCTTGGTGCTTCTGAGAATCTCACGACCCTTGAACGTGGTGAGCATGGCCAAGGGACGTGCGTAAAAGCGACTCTGCGTGTATCCCAAGCATCCGTACATGGAGTTAGCGGTCAGCTTGAAGGCCAGCTGTTTGGTGTCCCACAGAGCAAGCTGCTCAGGAGTGGCGCGTTTGTCCTTCATCAGCTTCTTAACTTCACGTCGACGACCGACTAAAGTAGCAATAAGCTTAGGCAGAATACCCTGCTCCTGATCGGAAGTAGGAACTTCGGGAACCTTTTCTTCCTTGTCATTATCCGCCTGGAGATGTCAGCTCATGTTCCATACAGTTTCCCTGGCATATGAACTCACAGTCGCTG